ATAATTTTTTTAGTTTTTTATTTGTATTTTTTCTGCTTTTCGAACTCCGCTTTACATTATCATAAATTATTTACAATGTCAACAAGACTTACATACTAATGCATAAAATTATTAAAATAATATTTCTGTTTGTTTAGACTATATTCATGCTTTACACAAGTGAAGCAAAAAAATAATAATAACAATAACAACAGTAGAAGCATAGTTTTTGCTATGCTTTGTTGTTACTTGTAGTTCATTGCAATACACACAGTTATCTTTATATAACACGCATACAATTTTTTTTCTAATTTTTTTTCGCTTTAGTGTTTTTACAACAACAATTATTTACTTAATTTGTGTATTTTACAGTTTTTTTTTTTTTTGTTTTTACATATTTTTCAATTTCTGCATATTTGCATATAAAATCTATACATAATTTATTTTGGACTTGTTTTTGTCGTTTTATAATTATTTTCATATAGTTACAAATTATATATTATATGTGTGTGTGTATATTTATAAAAATGTATATAAGCATATTTCAATTATATTTAACATTTGCAAATGTTCTTTTTTTGATTTCTGTATTTTTTTGTTTTTGTTTTTGTGTTATGTTGCACTATTATGTGTTGCACCAGTTGCCCCCTGCACCCGTAACTTAAGCTATTATTTCATACGATTAATGACTAAATCCGCGACCACTTGCAGACCCTTCTGGTATGGCGACTCGGTCAGCTCCTGCGCCAATCGTATCGCTTCGATGCAGTGCTTCTTGGCCAARAAGCGCGTCTGTTCGAGTCCRTGCGATTTGTGGACTAGTTCGAAGGCACGTTCAACATCGCCGGGTTCGCTGAAACGGCGCATTATCATCGGATTGAGTTCGGGATACTATCGGGGAGAAGAGAGTTAAATTTTATTATATATTCAATGGTAGTATGGGTTTATATTGATATTATTAGATATGTTTTATTATCTGGCTAATAAACAAAACACCAATTTGAAATTTTTTTAAAAACTGACTTAAAGGACTTTTTAATCAGAATATGCGTTGTCAACTATGTATAGAATGTGTCAACTATGTATAATTATTTAATTTTCCTTATAATAACGGCGAGTCTGCAAATATGCTATTACTATGCGGGTGTGAAACTTTGCTAAATGATTCGCCTAAAGGTAGGCAACATTTKGTTTATTTTCRGGAATAAAATGGTAGTACTTTGTAAAAATGTAAAAAGAAATATCATCACTTACTAGCAAATCGTAAATAATGGATAATTTGCTTAAAGGTAGGCAACATTTTTTTTTTTACAGCAAAAAGATCGTAGTACTATTCTTTGTAAAATGGAGTATTATCACTCACTAGCTCCTTAAACTTATTTAAAAGATTTTAAATAATTTAGAATTAGTCGAAGTTTATTACTAATATAGACTTCATAAAGTTTAAAAATAAAAATAAAAGATATTAAATTTTTTTAATATGATTTAAGGCCTTATCAACTATAGTGAATTTATTTTATTCTGCACAACATTTTAATTTCCTTGATCGCTTATTGGATGGGACTTGACTAAGCTTCGCCCAAAGGTAGGCAGCGATTTTATTATTATCAGTCATAAAATGCTGCTGTTTCGTAATATAGAGTAGTATAATTGCTTACTAGAATATTGAAAACATTGATTTTCAAAAGAATAGAATAAGTCTAAATTTACCAAAATTGATCTTTCAGTTACATACGCGAAGTAAGGACTCAATATTTTGACAATAGCAATCTGGTATAAAGAAGTAAAGCCTCAAACTGACATATAACTTGCAATTAATAAACTGGTATCATAAATAACTAACAAACTGGTTTAAATATTATGAATATTTAATAGACTAGTATACACCCATTTTTATCAGTAGAAATGTGARTAAGATTCGGGAAGTAAAAAATCAATATTTTGATAATAGTAATATAATAGTAATCTAAGTATAAAGAAGTTTAACCGTTAACTGGCATTAAACTTAACAATTACTAATTTAGTACGAACTGGTATTCATGTTTTCAATATTTTATAGACTAGTATACACCCATTTTTATCAAGAAACATTTGAAAACCAAACAAAAAAATTTCAGACTGTCTTAATCAYAAAAACAATATCACACACACAMAAAAYACTGAAATGATGATATAGGGRAACTTTACTGTAATTTATGCTTCGCTCAAAGGTGCGGATCTTTGCGGAAACATATGCATCGCTTAAAGATAGGCTATATTTTAGGACAAAAAAATGTTTTTATTATAATAAAATAAATATTAATAAAAACTAAGCTTAAACCTAACACAAACATATTTTCGCAAACGTTTCACAAATGAGCAAAGCTAAATTCACACCACGATTAAAATCGTCCCAAAGCATCATAAGCTTTTCCACAGAACACACAATAATCCACCACAAATGTAAGTGATATACCTAAAGCGCCTAAAAGCAGACAACTGTGGCGRAWATTCAGTGTCAGGCTACRATTTCGATAAAGCGACAASCATGAATGAGCGTTGCGCAGCAGGGCATACATTTATACGACCGGAGCAGCGCTTAACCACAAAAACACGACAAACTCACAGGWATGTTGAGGGGCACAATAATTGACGCTTTGATCATATGTATAACARCACCCATTGAACGCCCGCAAGCACAGACTGAACTGAACCATTTCACTCTGATTGAGTGACACCCTACAATGCTCTAACAGGCATTGTCATTGTTAGCGATGCGCAACTGGCGTTATTCCATTTTTATAACTGTCGCTGCGCACCTGTCACAACCGTCACAAATGTCAACTGTTGGCACGTACACATACGYACACATATGCGCRCAATTCATTTGACGCATAACACAARTCGCTCCTGCCACTCTACTGCCTCGCTTCTATGCTACGCTCAACGGCTGCGGATTAAAAYCCGCCTCACGTCCAAACAAATTGCTTCGCATATCAATTTTCGAAAAACTATTCAAACCGAGTGTTAGTCGCAATTAGTGTCGAAGGAGGGAAGGCAGATTTTGTAGCGGTGTTAAAGGGGTGWTACTGCAAAATTCCTTAATATATGATGCCAACTAAGTAATTTTATGATGCACTGCTRGTTTTGGAATTGCGTAGCATCGTCTTTTTATTTTTGTTTCGAGTAAATAGGTATGCACATATTTGATTTGAATTTGAGTCATTGCTATTTTAATGCTTTATTATCTGTTTCAACTTGAATTGCATTTAAAGCGCCGTAATGCCTTGTAGGAATTTATTTTAATGCGTGTGAGASAGAATAACATTCGATTGGGTAATGTTATGAACCCAACTGTTAATGACAGATGTTATCATTATTTKGGTAACAGTTGTATGTTAGGTACGGTAATGTTATGAAGGCAACTGTTAATGACAAATGTTATCATCATTTTGATAATAGTTGTATGTTTGGTAAAGATTAACTCACTGTCATTACCAGCTGTTAACCATGACTTTTCAAAACAGCGAGGGAATTTGTATGAAAGTAACATTTTTCTTTTCTTAAATTTTCCGTTCTGAACTGTAAACCTGCTTCACCATTTTCAGGTGGTCTTTAATTAAAGATCTGAACTTAAATTTGAAGAAAACCTATAGCTTTTGAACTTTAACATAATATTTCTAGTTAGCTAACATTTTCTAACAGCTGAATCCCCTTTAACTGGTTACTGGTAATAGCTGAGTCGCGGTGAGGCAGCACAAACGGTAGCTAAGTCAGGACTGACGGTTATCTTGTTGGACGGAAGATCTTGTTATGTGTCTGTTAGGACTGAAAGAGAATCTTCCACTATGAGTTGCTCTTCTACGGCAAAACTGTTAATTCGCAGGTATACTGTCAACAATTAGACTGTCTGAAGCGATCGGAATTGGCCACTAGAAGAGGAATTAAGCATCGATAGTGGCTCGCAAAATGCTCGGGGAGCATAGTTGTGACGTTCTTATCTATCCAAWTCATAGTACGCACCTTGCTYTAAATGATTACAAATTTYTTCTGRATGGATCATCCGAGACGTAGCCGYGGCCAACATTTGAGAAATGTAATCTTCAAAAATCAATTCAAATCTTTCAAATGATAATAAACATTCCTCCTTAATTTTGAAGTGTATGTATGTTTTCTTTAAAAAAGGCTATATCGATTATAAATTTCAGTTCACTAGTGAAGATCGACAGAACACTACTAAGCTTACTCCACCTTCTGTATACTAGCATACTACATTCTACGCACTACAAATACAATTTTATTGCGTCCAAAGTAAACGTCATAAATCTGAGCCCTCACAGCAACAATGTATTTATGCACATATGTATGAATATAAATATGTACAATGAGACAATAAACGCATTTAAGTGCAATAAAGTGCAAAATTCAACAATCAATATGCGTCTGACAAGCCGCGCTAGAGAACATAAGGAACTGTATTATGGCGAGCATGAATGCGACCGTGCAAAATTGCATAATTAAGTGTTTGTATCGAGATTTATTTGACCAGCAGCAGCATTAATCTGTAGTTTATTTGACACTTGTATGCAACGCGTAGCGGCTCATAAAGCGAAGGCGTGTTGCACACACCTACGAGCGGGATTATTGAGGGAATGGGAGATGGATAAATGCTCTGATGTTATCGTTCAAAAAACATGCTTTGTAGAAATAAGAAATAAGGAAGTGTCATTTATAGCGCGATATTGAGATTGATGTGCATTCAAATATTTGCTTATTAGYCGTTTGTGGAATTTCGAATTAAGCAAATGAAGTTACGCGGGGGAGTGAGTGATCATTGCAAAAACTGTGATTGTGTTTAATTGGAAAATATGTGGGTACGTCTTTCTTAAAAATATAATAACTGTATACTATATGATCCTAGAAAACATATAAGCCAAATGATCCTAGTGTATAGAAAACTCACCTTTTCGCATGCGAAGAGCACCGGCGCAGTGGCGAGGCCCAATTTYAAATCGGCAGCCGTTGGTTTACCCATTGTTTCGGCGGTTGAGACAAAGTCCAGCATATCGTCGACCAGTTGAAACGCTAAACCTACATTACGTCCATATTGGAATGCCAATTCGGCGATGTTTTCATCGGCATCAGCGATTACAGCCGTCTGAAGATAAAGAATACATTCAAATAAATATTAAATACAAAATAGAATTCTGAAAGCAAATCAGGAAAGTTTTGTAATACAAATTTCA